TTGTATTTCAAGGTGTTTTCTATCATTTTTCTATTTCAATAAAATTCCTTTTGTTTAATGGTTATTCGTGACTAATTTTCGTTTTCTAGAGTGATGCCTTAAGCCTTAGCATGAATATGTAGTATTTATTTAATTGCTTATGATATTATACATGCATACTTTGAATTATTACTTTAATTTGAATTATTAATCATTGTGTTTAAACTGTCTTTGTGTCTTAATGATTTGTGACCATTATGATGTTTAGATAAGTAATCGATGTAATTCAGATGGAATACCACCGGAGAATTGAATATTGCTTCTTTTGTGATTGATAGTTGTAATTTCACCTATGGTGAATGCCACGTCTTAGAGGTTGCATGGTTTTTCAATAGATTTTTACAAAGTGTAATGAGTCATGCATGTTTGTATTTGATCTGAATGCCACAGACGGATTGCACGTTTGATAGACGTTATAACTTGAATGCCACAAGTAGAATATGCATTAGGAAAACCTAACTGTCAAAGTTGCATGTGTAATTCATAAGTAATTGGTAAAACTACATAGGATTGTTAAGGTGACGGTGGAACCCCAGTGTCCTTTTATCATTATTTTCCAAGATTGTTCCCTTTCAAATTGGTTTCTATAATTGTTTTAATTTAAAATTCGTTTTTAATATTCTAGGTTATAAAATCAACTTTTCGAAACTTTGTTTTGAATAGTTAATTAAGAATTAGTTTAAGTACAAACTATTCAATCAATCCTTATGGAGAACGACCTTACTTGAGCTGCTCTACTACGGTAACTTTGTACTCTTGCAAGTATTTTGAAGTGTTTTTATCCCTACTTTTTCAGGTGATAGAAATCATATCAAGCAATTAGGGGTGTTCACAGGTTTACACCCTAACATACCAGTCTCTTTTAACAAATCCAATAAATATTCCCGTTGAGATAAGAAAATACATTTGGAAGAGTGGGCAACCTCAACTCCAAGTAAGTACTTCAAATCTCCCAAGTTTTTCATCTCAAACTTTGATGCAAGATTCTCCCGCAATCTAATTATCTCATCTAAGTCATCCCCTGTAATAATCATGTCATCGACATAGATAAATAGTGTAGTTACTCTGTTTAATCTACGCTTCATAAATAATGTATGGTCTGAATGACTCTTATGATACCCATTTTTCTTCATTGCCTGAGTGAAACTGTCGAACCACGCACGAGGTGATTGCTTAAACCCATATAAAGACTTATGCAATCTACACACCCCAGTCTTCCTATTCGCATCATATCCGGGAGGAAAAAACATATATACTTCTTCTAGATTCCATCATGAAGGAAAGCATTCTTCACATCAAATTGTTTTAGTGCCAATCTATGTTTGCAGCTAAAGAGATTAAAATACATACCATATTCATCCTAGCTACTTGTGAAAAGGTTTCTTGGTAATCCACACTATACGTTTGAGTATAACCCTTCGTCACTAACCTTGCTTTGTACCTGTCACTTGATTTGCCAGCCCTGTATTTGATTATGAATATCCTAACTCCACCCCAACTAGTACCGATGCCTTTTGTGATAAAACCCCACACTTGACGGATTGTGTAGGTGGTAATTACTAAGTTGGGGACAATATCGGTGTTGTTGGAAGTGGCCTTTCACCCGTCTCTCTGATAATTCGACATGGTATTAGAGCTAGGGAGTGCACCCATATTGTACTGCCACGTGATGGGTGGGTCCCCTTGACCCCGCACAATGATGTTGGGTCCTTTGGCCCTGGCTCCAAATTGTTGCCGATATGTGGATCATTCACATGTTACCGACTAATTGAATCCCACGTGAGGAGGCATAATGAAAAATCCCACATTGGCAACATCATAGTCATGTTTTAATAACCCTAATTCTTTCCTAATAAAGAACTCCTACAATATCTCTAAGGATTCCTACAATATCTACTCTTAATGACCCGTTTTAACATAATTACCTCGGCAACACATGCTTGTATTAAATTTGGTTGTACATTTGTGGTACTCAGTGCTCTCAGTGTGACAATGTTGGACTCATGATGGCGTGGGATTGAGTCGATCAGGTGGCAATGATAACCTCATCAATTCTTTTTCTTTTTTGTTTGCTGGATAATCGGTTGGTGATGAACAACATTTTAATATTGGGGCAATGTGCAAACTTACGGCACAGTTACACTCTTGCTGTAGTATTTCATGTCAAAAACTCCTCATTACAGAATAAAAATTTACACATATTTTTATTTATTAATATGAAACGCTACGATAACAACATACTCGTGTAAAAAAAAATAATCGAGTAGGTTAACTTCTTTTTCTTTGTGAACAGTTGGCAGGTGGTCCAATCCATATGTTGCTTCAACAGTGTTACAGAGTAAGCTGGCAGGGCAAAGAGAAGATACTGGAGTGCCCTGCTCTGCTGGGTGCACTTATTGATTCCAGCCAAGTTCTTGCTTTAATTTGTTTTTCTTATTGGGCACAAACAATGTATCAAGTTATGGGTGACCAAGTGAAAGGAATAGTGAGATTCTTGCATACAACCGGTGAAATTCTTGCATACATTTAGAAATATATCGTCGATGAAAGTCAAAACTTTATCAAAATGCCACTTGTAGGTAAAATGGTAAAATGATAAAATGAAGGATTTTCCTTCACTGAAGTGAAAATTTTATATATAATGAAAGGTAACAGAAACTATTTATCAAAATTAAACCCAAACTTCATTAAGCTCGTAAGTCATAACATTTTCTTTTATTACAAGCGTTATTACTACTCTTATTCAATTACACTATATATAGATATACACACATACATACATATATATATATATATATAGGAATATATTAAAATATATATTTACTCAAAAAATTATAATTTTGCAGAATTCTGAAGCTGGACACTGTCACACTGCAGTCTACAGAGCTGCCTCATCAAATCAAATTTCATCATTTGGTAATAAGCTATTGCGTTGGGACTCATTCATTTTTTTTAATCTATTTTTCGAAATTTGTGAACCATGTAATTCAAAGAAATATATTTTAAATCAGATGGGAAAAAAAAAATTTGGAAAAATAAAATAAAGCAAGGACAGCATTGGCAAAAGGATGTCTGAGTCCTTCTGTGGTTACCCACGAGGGTGAAAAGGAGTTTGAATCAGTATTCATTAGTGCAGGTGATGAGTAGAAGTGTGTGGCAGTAATTATTTACAGTAAAAAAGAATTATAAACAAAATCTAAGCAAGCTTATTTTGGAATCGAGATCCTCTCCGGATCTCCAAGTTCCAAGCCAACGGATTAAAAAATTTTGGTCATTTAAGGAGGGAAGAAAGAGATATGGGCCCATGATTTGTGTGAGGTAGGACAGTGGGACAGATAAATAAGGTCGTAAAGCTTTACACGAATGATCTGATTTATGAGTCTGCCGGTTCCAAACACAATGATTTGAAGAGAATCTCAGTTCTTTATTTTAAACACATGCGAAAGCAAAGCATTGCAATGTAGTGATCCAACGTGTGGGTGGGTGGATCATAATGTAGCTCGGGTTAATAATCATTTTAATCCAAGTTAAAGTAAGAACGCACAGATGTTTAGGATAATATGTCAGAAAGAATTAAGTTACCTTCAGTGTTGGATTCTCTTCAATACAATGAAACAAATTTGAAAAGAAACCAACATAGAAGGTGATATGACCCATCATTATTTGCTACTTTTGCTTAAAGTGGTAAACCAGCTCAAGTTCTATAACCTGGGTTTTACTGTATTACTCTAATGTTAATTATGACATAGCTTGAAATATGTTCGAGTAAACTTTACAGTAAGGAAGGAGGGGAAGGAAAGCAAAAGGCGGAGGTAGCCGCGCGTGGGAACAAAGATTCTCTCCACTCTCTTTTTTTTTCTTCCTTTCGTTTCCTGCCGGCTCCTGTTTAAATGCTCAAGATTTTATTTTTGTAGAGAGAAAAAAAAAAGTAGAGAGAGAAACAAGAAAAACAATTTGTAAGAGGAGGAGAGAGGAGAGGAGAGGAGGGGAGGGAAGGGAGGAAAAAAAGGAGGGAAAATGATCCCCATCCCGTGCTTGGAGAGATTCAATGACTTACAACTTAGGCAGTGTTATTCACACTCTTTTTTATTGCTCGCACACCTTTGTTAATTTTGGAAATTGAGAGGGTGTGTAGAAAGTAAAAATTGGTGTGTAGATGGCACCACCCGACAACTTAATGTTGTGTCTTATCTTCTGACTTCGAGCATGGCCAACTCCCATAGTGTGACAAGGCCCGAGAACAAATTCATTGTTGTATGGCTGAACGATAATTACTAGTGGTTCCAGGCCACTGTAGCATGTGTATTGCCCAAGGCATAAAGGGGCAAGGGCGCATAATGACTTGACATCACCCTCACCTTCCTCCCGCTTACCACAATCTTCTATCTAGTAATTTCCGAGAATGCATCTTTCCAAAGAGTTGGGTCATTAGATAGTAGGATTGCTTATCTAAAAGCTCATAAGTCATAAGTACTTAATTGAAATTTGTATTGACAATCTATGTGTTTCATGGAAAACTCTTGAAAGTACTTTGAAGTTTTCCGCTAAACAAAGCACTTTTGGTTGTAAAAAACAATTAGTTTAAGACCAACTCCAACCCCTAGACTCAAACTCAAATATTTAGGTTCATTAAAAGACAAAATTTAATTTTAGGACCTAAAATGTATTAATTGTTATGAAATGGTTTTAATCCTAATTTTTTTTGGGTAAGGATATTTTTGTATCTTTGAATTACGTTATCTAAATTTACTTTTAGGGTAATGTTAGGAAGATTAAATTCGTAGACCAATCTTTGTAAACTAAATAACATGGAAGTTGATGATTGAATTATTACTTAAGTGTTGATTAACGTGCTTATTTTTTATTAGTAATACATTATTTAGTTTGCACATTTAGCCTATCTACATTACTCTTAATTTTTCAAAAGTTTTAATCTAAAGAAGATTTATATTCGGACAAAATTTCTAAAAACGAACGAATCACATCAATCAATCAAACTTCAATACATACACCAATCAAACTTCAATATACAAACTAGCCAACCAAACTTCAATACACACACCAACCAAACTTCAATATCCACCTATTAAAACTACCTAAACAATCACCAGACAACAATAAATTTTCATTTGAGAAATTGCAACACCAAGCCTCACGTAAAGCTTCATATTTTCTTCTTCCAATTTGGACCTCTTGCATTTTGTCCTGTAGACATCTTCAGATTTTGCTGATCATATATATCCTGTTTAACACCCTTGATAGAACGCGTTGTAAGAAGTTGAGGCTAAGAACTGTAAGCGCTTTTCCCCACCAGTCTGCGGGCGTTTCAGGTTCCATATTTGGAGCTCCTTTTGCAGTGAAGTTGTGGTCAAGTTTCAATAAGCCAGAGGTGAGCTGCTCTTTGCATGCAGTGTTTGCAATTGCGTTGATAAGCCTGATTACAAGGTTGGTTTCTTCTGCTGCAGGCAAGAGGGTTTCACAGCGATGAAGAACTGATATCGACTTTGATATGTTTGGAAGCACCGTCTCCTTCAGATAAGCTTCAGTTCTCGTTTCCATATTTTTCTCAGCATACTCTTCCGTCATTTCCAGGAAGTGCGCTACGCAACGAAGCATGGCAACATTTGACTCTGTAATTTCAACATGAACTTTGCAGCTAGCTCAAATCCCTCTGGTCCACCCGGAACAGAAGCAAGAATTATGCGCGAAACTTTTGCATCTTTTGCTTCAAGCAACAGTTTCCGAATCCTTCCACTCTTAGAAACTAGGGGGAGCTGCAACACAGTCATCGTCACATTACTAATTCGACAAGTCTTCGTTTAATCGTGACAGAAAGTTATTTTATCGCAAGCTAATGAATAACTATCTTGTAACCGCAACAAATTGAACAATAGACTAGTTCTGAACTGGTTTCACTCACCTTGTGAAGTGCAAGGCTTGATGCTCCTATTTCCACAGTAATATCGCTAGAACATCAGATATTGGCCTGCGTAATAGAATAAATTCATTGAAAAATGGAAACGAAGCAAGGCAAGAAAATCAGTATCTAGGTTACAATCAAGAACCAAATGCATACATTCTCATAGGTACCAACATATCAAAAACCCTGCCGGAACTTTTTCTTTTTGTTTCCGTGGAAGTACACAACACGCATGTTCTAGTTCAATTGAAACATATGGACAGCGTGATTCTCCCTAGATATTAATGGTTCGCTACAGGCGGATGGCTCAATAATTGCGAAATGAGTGGTGGATTGGAGTTTGCACACGAAGAGTAATGTTGGATTATGGTAAAGGATAAGAAAGCTGATTAGCTAAGCTTGTTGAGTGGACTAGGGCTGGTTTGGTATTGATATGCTTTGGAAAAAAAACTGTTTTTGTTGTGCTGTGAGAATAAACAGTTATGAAATAAAGCAGTAAAGTGTTTGGTAAACTTTTTTGTAAAAGTGTTTTTGAAAAAAAAAAAAAAAAAAAGCAGTATTATAGTGTTCGATAAACTTTTATGTAAAACAGATGTGAAAAAAAACTGGGTTTTGCAGCTTTGTGTTTTTGGCTTTTTTTCACCTAAAATAGTGAAAAAAAGCTGAAGCTGAATGTTTACCAAACATAAAAAAAGCTCACAGCTTTTTCTTATAGCCACTTTTTTTCAGAATCACCTCAGTACCAAACTAAAGCTAATCATATCACATAACGATGTAACAGTCACGCTAAATAAAGCGAGAAGGGTCTGTCACAAACAAGGAACAATTTGTAATTCCGTACATGTGTTCAGGGCCTACAGAGGGTAAATACACACAAATAATTGATCCTCAAAACATTAACTTGGGTTGGCAGTTGGCATTTCAAGAATGTTGACAGTAAAATATGGCTGCATCTGGAAAGCAATCAGCGAGGTGGTCCTCGTGCTATTGTTGTTTCGATTCCGTATTGTCGGGAAGAAGCTCACAGGATTTTTGTGTGACCATGAAATGTTACCATCTTCCTTAAATTCAGGGGAGCCTCAGAAGCTCATAGACTGTTTGAAAAACACAGGCTCTGTTTTGACACTCAAATCCCAAAAAGATGCAAAAAAATGAACACTTTTTTCGTGTCCTTTCGTGTTTCGGGTTATATTGCGTTACCCGTATCTGTGTAACATAGAGTTACTAGTAAGTAGAGACTACCATGTGACTCAAAGCTAAAGAAAATAAGGCTAAAAGTAAAAAACTAGCGAATTAAATGTAGGTAATCAATCAAAAGCAATAAGAGATGGGAGGAATGTAGAACTGGGTGTAACCAAGTTGGCTATTGCAATGTGTACCCAAGTTCAATTCCCTCTCACGCATTTTACTATTTTACATTAGATTAGATTATTGCTCGAATATAAAGAAAACAGAAGATGAGGGGGAACGTTACCATTCAGTGGCATGCCTTATGCTGGAACTCGGACGAAATGACCGCTTCCCGGAAATGCTAGGCTTCAGTTCACCAATGGTGACGGCCCCCATCTTTCCTCGAACACTTTATGATCAAAATCCTGCAGCTCCAATCCCACTACAAAATTTTCAAAAGCCTCAAACTTTCAACAATATAAGCACTTTTACTAAAAAGCTGTCTCAGATTTCTCAATTTTTCAAACACCTTATGCTCATAAATTCCCACTCAAAATCCTGCACCTCCAAATCCCACTACAAAAAGTTCAAAAGCCTCAAACTTTCAGCAACATAAGCACTTTCCACTAAAACCCCATCTCAGATTTCTCAGTTTCCTGTTGCACATTGCAACATTTGTCTGAGAAATGGTTTGAGGAAAGAGAGAAAAAGAAAAATGCTGCTAAAGTGAGGAGAAAGTCACATGAAACCGTGCAAGAACAAAGGAGGGGACTTTGAAACAATTTAATTACTTTAATGAGTGTCTATGATGAGGTTTTTAATCTAAAAGTCAAGGAATTGCAGCTGCAAAAGCACTTTTCGGTGAAAGGTAGTGAGAGGGAGTGAGTGAGTGAGTTGCTTTTACATGGTTAATGTTGGTGAGGGAATTTTGCAGGATTTCTGAGAGGGCTGCAGTGCTTTTGGGGGTTGTAATCATGGCTAGTGAAAGCCATTCGCTTAAAGCTTTTGCTTAAATTAAGTCGCTAATTATGTGTAAAGCTAATTAAAGTAGAAATTTAAAGGATGAGTGGGTACCTGATATAATTAGAACCACAATGCATCCACTTAAACTATATTCCTTAGTCTTCTAGAACCAAACATGCATTTCCATCATATATTCCATAAGAGATGTATACCCGTGTTACATACTTTCAGCCACTACGGTTTCGACATCTGGAGGCCTTGTACGGCTCAATGACGAGAAATTATTATGTGATACTGAAATATTGTACATCAAACCTACCAATTCAGGTATGAATTGCCGGGTATACCCAATGTGTAGCAAGGAGTGGCAGTTAGTGAAAATCTTAAGAGAAGATGAGGGGAAAGGTTGTGTGAACAGGCACTTGCACATAGATTAGTGAAGAAAGTTATGATTCCACCATAAATCAATTGGCAATATAAGAAGTAGCTCAATTACTTATAAGCACATGCAAGGTCCCCACTTTTCCGGATGCGGGATTTATACTCTCTCAACGCACCCCCTCCCGTGTGACAAATTTTCAAACCTAGGACGTAGAAACACAAATTAGGTGACTCAGAGCACGTGTGGCCCTTGGACTTTACACGAGGGACAACCTGCTCTGATTCCATAAAGAAATTTGATTCCACCATAAAATCAATTGGCAATATGAGGAGTAGCCCAGTTACTTATAAGCACATGCAATATCCTTTCTTTCCCGATATAGGATTCATACTCTCAACAATTAATCAATCATGAGAGACAAGAGAAACATTTTGTGAATATCAGTTTGCACATAGGTTAGTCAATCTAAGAAACAGAGGCAATACATCTAGTATAGCCTCTTAATCGGCTCTCACACAAGCTTCAAAATGCTAACAGTTTGCCCTAAACATATGCGAGTCACCTATTCATATTATAACACGGATAAACACCCAGATGATGTTTTCTACAATAGGGGTGTCCACAGGTTTACACCCTAGCATACCAGTTTCTTTTAACAAATCCAATAAATATTTTCCGTTGAGATGAGAAATACATTTGGACGAGCTAGCAACCTCAACTCCAAGGAAGTACTTCAAATCTCCCAAGTTTTTCATCTCAAACTCTAATGCAAGATTCTCCTGCAATCTAATTATCTCATCTAAGTCATCCCCTATAATAATCATGTCATCTATATAGATAATCAGTGCAATTACTCTATTTAATCTATGCTTCATAAATAATGTATAGTCTGAATGACTCTAATGATACCCATTTTTCTTCATTGTCTGAGTGAACCTATCGAACCATGCACAAGGTGATTGCTTAAGCCCATATAGAGACTTACGCAATATACACACCCCAGTCTTCCCATTCACATCATATCCGGGAGGAAAACCAATACATACTTCTTCTTCTTCTAGATTCCACCATGAAGGAAAGCATTCTTCACATCAAATTGTTTTAGTGGCCAATCCATATTTGCAGGTAAAGAGATTAAAACACGTACATTATTCATCCTAGCTACTGGTGAAAAGTTTTCTTGGTAATCCACACCATACGTTTAAGTATAACCCTTCGCCACCAACCTTGTTTTGTATCTGTCACTTGATCTGCCAGGCCTGTATTTGATTATGAATATCCTAACCTCACTCCAACTAATACCGAGACCTTTTATTATCGAACTCCACATTTGACGGATTGTGCAAGTGGTAATTATCAAGTTGTGAACAATATTGGTGTTGTTGGAAGTGGGCCTTTCACCCGTCTCTCTGATAATTCGACACAGTATCAGAGTCAGGGAGCAGACTCGTATTGTACTACCACGTGATGGGTGGGTCCCCTTGACCATGTGCAATGATGTTGGGTCCTTTGGTCCCACGTGTAGGATGAGTCTCCTTGGCTCCACATGGTTGCCAATGTGTGGATCTCTCACATGTGACCCACTAATTGGATCCCACGTGAGGAGGTGTGTTGAAAAATCCCACATCAGCAACATCATAATCTTGTTTTACAAGGAAGGCTATAACACAATATAATTCTTTCCTAATAAAGAACTCCTACAATATCTCTAAGGATTCCTATCTACTCTTAATGACTCGTTTTAACATAATTACCTTGGCTACACATGCTTGTATTAAATTTGGTTGTACATTTGTGGTACTCAGTGCTCTCAGTGTGACAATGTTGGACTCATGATGGCGTGGGATTGAGTCGATCAGGTGGCAATGATAACCTCATCAATTCTTTTTCTTTTTTGTTTGCTGGATGATCGATTGGTGATGAACAACATTTTAATATTGGGGCAATGTGCAAACTTACGGCACAGGTACACTCTTGCCTGTAGTATTTCGTGTCAAAAACTCCACGTTACAGGATAAAAACTTACACATATTTTTATTTTATTAATATAAAACTTACGATAACAGTATATTTGTGTAAAAAAAAATAATCGAGTAGGTTGACTTCTTTTTCTTTGTGAACTGGCAGGTGGTCCAATCCACATGTTGCTTCAACACTGTTACAGAGTAAGCTGGCAGGGCAAAGCGAAGAAATTGGAGTGCCCTGCTCTTCTGGGTGCACTTATTGATTCCAGCCAAGTTCTTGCTTTAATTTGTTTTTCTTATTGGGCACAGACAATGTATCAAATTATGAGTGACCAAGTGAAAGCAACAGTGAGATTCTTGCATACAACCGGTGAAATTCTTGCATGCATT